AATCGGTCAGGCTCATCCAAGGGTTTGGCCTAGGGGCCGGACCGAAGAGAGGGTGCGGGTTGGTCCAGCCCATTACAGGGGAGTGGGGATTGGGTTGGAGCGCCAACTCAGCCAAGGAAGGGGGCCTGGAGGTTGGGCCGACTCTGGCAGGGGGGCTAGGGATCTGTCAACTCTTTAAAGGACGCATGATTAAAGGCCGGCCAGCAGAGAGTGGGCTGCCGGTTGGGCAGGACCCCTAAAGGCTAGAGGTGGGATAGAGGTGGCTGGGGCTTCTAGGATAACAGAAAATTGGGTAAAAGGAGGAAATTGAGAGATTGGACAAGAGTAGGAGGAGCTAGACAGAGCCCTGGGAACGAGGGATTGGAGGAGATTGCTAGGAGGGGATGGGTTGACAGGAAGGGACAGGACTATCACTAGAGGTAGAGGCAGATGCACGGTTCCAGGCCTACAGGGGAGGGAGTGATGAGCCTGAGGGTAGGGCCAGGTAAGTAGATGCCAGAGGGTACAGCCAGGTAAGCAGAGCCAGATAAGTTGATGTCAGTCAATTCCGGGGCCTAGTGGACACAGCCCTGAGGACATGGGGCTAAGAGTACCCAGGCACAAACACACCAAGGCCCATATCCCCAGACTCTCTTACTCCCTTCAACAAGGACGTTCAGGGGCCATAGAATCCTGGGCCCAGCACCTTACCTCCCACCCAGGAGGCACCTCTGTCCAGAGCACAGAGGTTGGCATGAGGCCGAGGTACACAGGCCTTTACCCTTCCTCTGAAAGGTGGCACAAGAGGGAAACAGACGCTGCACTGACCCAGACAAATACCATGTTTATTTCACAAACACTGGGAGGATGGTACAGGGGTGGAGGTTGACACAAGTGCACAGCTGCACACATAGTTGCCATCAGCAGCCTGCTCCCTATACTGAAGATTCAGCCCAGACTGCAGTGACTCCAAGTCAACAGGCAGTGAGAGGTGAGTGCAGGGAGGGCCCTGAACACCAAGCTCCTGAAAGGTTAAGGGCCACAGCTCCAGCTGTCCCAGGAAAATCAGCAATAAATAAGAGTGAGGCACGGTCCCACCCATACAGATCACCTAGTCACCCATCTTCACTCTGGAGGTCTGCAAAAGAAGAACAGGAGAAATCAGGCAGGGACACAGGAATCAATAAGGCAGTAACAAATGACAGATTAGACCTAGCAAACGGAAAGACCACAATACATAGATGACTAACCAGGATGGACACGGTATGACAGACACATACAGATGAGCAGGGACAGTCAGACAACCACAAAGTCAGTCAGACAACCACAAAGTCAGATGGAAAGAAGTGGCATATGGACAGAGTCAGTCACCAAGGCTTTAACCCAGCCAAGCACTCACAGTCATGCTCAAACCCTCAGGCTGATCCTTGGTCACAACCGACACACCCTGTCAGACAACACACATACAGTTCAGAAAGTGATGTCCTATTGACAGGCACATCACAGACAGATACACACACAGACTCTGAGAGACACAGTCAAACACACCAAGACAGACTGATAAAGGCACAAAATCCCAACACAGTCTAGATTACAGATACAGAGATGGGGGCAGGAAGAAGAAGGCAAATAAACAAAATGACAGAACAGAAAGAGGCTGAATGAAAGCTATGTAGATACAAAGCATTAGAGAAAAAAACAGGGCTGTTGCCAATGACACCAGATCAGAGACAAAAATAAACTGAAAGCAAGCCTCAAAAGGAGAAAACCAGATGTGAATGAGGAGGTGGAAGCTGCCTGGGGGTTCTATGGTTATAGGCAGAAAAGGGGAGCATTTCAGCTCTCCTGGACAGAAGGTAAAGCTAGGCAGGGACAAGGACACAGAGGCTTCCCAGGGGGATACAGCACCTGAAGGATTGCAACGATGACCCCAAAGAGGCCAATGGCACTGCCAAAGATCTCCACGATGAGAATCTTTACAAAGAGGCTGGGGTTCTGAGCATCAGCCAGGGCAGCCCCACTGCCCACGATGCCCACGCAGACTCCACAGAAGAGGTTAGACAGGCCCACTGTGAGGCCAGCGCCGAACATGGAGTAGCCTGGGAGGACAGAGAGGGAAACACTGAGGCCAGGCCAAGCCAGGCACAGGGGAGATGATGGGCTAATGGGGCCAATCCCCACCCCAACTTCATAAAGCAGGCCACAGCAGATCAGAGAATATCAAAATGAGGAGTCCAAGCTAGGAGGCAGGAGTGGGGAAGCAGGTGTGAGGCCTCCACTTTTCACCTTCACACATACCCCACCTACCTGCATGGTAGTTCCGATGGCCGATGGCCTTGGGGTCAGTGGCACTGAAAGGCTGAGAAAGAAAGAAAAATAATCAGAAATCACCCCTTATGCCCACCTCCATCTCTAAGCAATGTGTAGAACAAACTGGTAGATGCCCACTCCCACCCAGGCCTTCCATACCTCCGCCATGTTGCTAATGACAATTGCCATGATGATGCCATAGATGGCCACAGCCTCACAGAAGATGATGCTGGTTGTGGTAGCCATAGAGAGTGAAGAGGAGAGAGAGATGAGAAGGAAACCAATCTCCCTCCCCAAAAAGTCCCCAGCAACCTTTCCTCCACTAACATCCCATCCTACCAGTAAGCTTGTCAGAAACAGCTCAAACACAGGCAGCTTCCCTGGTTATGACAACCTGACCTTTACACTTACCTGACCAGGTTCTTGGTCTTGATCCTGGGGGCCTTCACCCCTCCCCCGATGATGGAAGAACCCGTAATATAGATGCCCCTGGTAGAAGGATAAAAAAAGTGATGAGCAGAGCCCAAGCTGTAAATGCCCCCAGGATTACTAAGAACCCAGTGACATGGCCTGCCATGACTCAGCCCGTCCCCCTGTGCCACAACCCCGACACTCACCAGGCTGCCCCAACCACAGACAGGGAGATAGCTAGGCCAATGCCCAGGTTTGACCACATGAAGGGCGAAGTCTCAGTCAGGAACCTGGTGTGGAGTCAGGGAAGAAAGCAATTCAGCCCTGGCAGAGAAGGGGTCACAACATTCTTAGCCTCCCATTCTTCCTCCAACCCCACCAGTGCTGGATAGATTTCATATCTCTCAAAGGCCCGTATCCCATGCAGTGGGTTGCTGTCGGGGAGGGGCTCAGACCAGAGAAGAGGAAAGGATGCAGAGAAGCTCCTGGGCCATCCTCTCCCTGCCCTCCCCTTACCATGCCACATCAAAGCGGAAGCCCAGGTCAAAAATGGTGTAGCAGATTCCTGCAGCAGTAAGAAAAAAAGGAGTTAGGGGCTGCTCTCAAGGGAGAAGCTCTCCAATCTGGAGAAGTATTAGCTGCTCAGCAGAAGGGCCACCTCTCTAAAGGTCTGCCTACATCCCAGTCAAGGGAGAGTCCTCAGGCTGGCCCCCAGGTGAAAGTATAGCTGTCTATGTAGATTCCTCTGCTTAGGCCTCCATTTTCTGCCACTCCCTCAGTAACACACTTCCCTCGATGACACCACCTTCCAACCAAGATCCTTCGCAGGCATGCCTGATACCGTGGAAGAAAGGAAGCACCAAGCGCTCTAGCCAGGCCCTACCAGATCCCGCCAGCCCAGCTCGAGTCGCTGTTTACCCAACAAGCAGTGTGTGGGAGAAAGCAAAACGACCTGGAAAAGAGGAACCGGAGCAGCCGGCTTGTGACCCAAGCAGGCCGGTCGGGAGCAAGAAAGGGACGAGAGCAGTGAGACGCAGGGGGGCGGGGAGAGACGGCGGTAGACAGAAAGGGACTAGTGCTGCTCTTTCGGCCCCCAACTACCCCCGCCTCGCCCCTCCTCAAGCAGCCTGAGATCCGGGTCTCCTCTGTCGAGGTCAGAGGCCGTAACAGGCGCAAGTCAAGTCCCGGAGCCCAGGGTGCAGAGCCCGCGCCGAGGCCCGGTGTTCCCGGTCCCCACGGCCCCCAGGGGCAGCAGCCTGGCCTGCGCGGCTCAGACATTGCCCCCGCCCGCCAAGACCCGGCCTCACCCACGACGACCATGCAGGCCCAGAAGGCCACGAACACCCCGGAGTAGAGGAGCGCTAGCCCCGACATGGCGGCGACGATAGCAGGGGTCGGATCGGCGGGGCCAGAGCTAAAATCGCGTCCACCGTCCGCCCCGCAGCCTGTCCGCCCGCCCCGCAGCGTCACCTGACTCGTCCACGTGACGCGTCGACACCACGTGACTGCGCGCCGGGTACTGAGCCGCGTAGAGGCCGGTCTAGGGCACAGCGACGCCGGAATCGTAGGCGCGGGGGGCTGTGGATGTTGCAGTTGCGCAGGCTCCAGCGTCCTCCTTACTAAGTACCTTGATGTTTGGCCGGTCCTTCTCGAGTCTGTCCACCCCACCCCGCCTAAGCCCACCAGCCCTGCTTTATTCCCGAGCTTGCTCGTAGGCCTCCCTAGCTTACTCTCCAAACACCACTGGTCTCCCGGCCTCCCCTGTGGCCACCCCGTGCCCTACCCAGGGCCCGGCGGGTGCCGTGCGTGCTCTCCTCCTCACCCGGCTCGTAAGACGTTGATGCCTGCTGCACGTCTCTGCCTGGCTAACAACTACCAGTCCCCAGGGTCCTGTGCCTGCTCTGGGCTCCCACCATGCCCTGAGGATCCCTTAAGACTTCAGCAAGCTCATGTCACTTACCTATTTAAATGCCCGATGGCTCCCATCTCATTCAGAATAAAAGCCAAAGTCCCAACAGTGGCCTACCAGGCCTCCACCCTGCAGCTGCCCACGCCCCTTTCTGACCACAACTTCTAATACTCCCCCCAACTCTCCTTGCTATTTCTTGAACACATGCCAGCCATGCCCTCACCTCATTGCCCTTGCACTTGTTTTCTCTGCTTCTCCTAAGTATCCATGTGGCTCACTCTGTAACTTTCTTTTGGCCTTTGCCCACCCTCTTCAACAGGCCTTCCCTGACCATTCTGTTTAATATTGAACCACCCCCCCAACACTCCTTATCTCCTTCCTGGCTTTACATTTCTCCACAGTAGGCACCATCACCATTGACATACTAAGTATTCTAAAGTTTGTCCATCTCCCCCCGGAAAAGTGTGACCACCACGATCTTTGTTGCACACACTGATGTATATCCAGTGCCTGCACAAAGTGGGTCCTCAATATGTGTTTGTAGAATACAAGATTGGCACCCACTCTACCTGGGTTACCGTAGTCAGTTTACAGCTCTCCCTATACCATTGGACTGAGCATTTCCTGAGGGCAGGGCCCACAACTCCTTTGTTCACCTATGTCTTCAACACCCTGGTTGATGCCAATATGACAAGATTCTCAGCAAATGTGGGGAATGTAGATGTGAGTCTTTTCACCCCTCTCAAGATCCAGCAACTCCACTTTCCTTGAGGCACCCACTGTGTTGGTTCATGCCTGTGTTTAAGCCCAAATGCCGTTTCACTCTTTTTCTCCTGACAATTATTTTTATCCTCCACAAGATCCAGTTTAGGTATCAGTTTCCCTGGGAAGCCTCCTGAGTCCTTGTCAAATGTCTCCTGTGGGATCCAACTGCCCCTGGGGCTTCCCTCCTCACAGATAATACTGTTTTACTGTGTGGTGATTGCATATTTAACACTTTGTCTTTCCAACTACATTGTGAGGACAGGAATCTGGTTAAATACAATTCATATCTCCATCCACAGGACCTGTGCAGGACCTGCAGTGTTTGATGAATAAAAATAAACAGAAAGAGAAAAAGTATCTGGTTTATTCGAGTTTCTGTGATCTCCCTGAGAAACAATTGAATCAGTGTAGACCAGTACTATCCAACAAACAGAACTTTCTGCAATGATGGAAAGATCCTATAGTTATATTGTCCCCTCATGTGACTATTTGAGCACTTGAAATGTGGTTAGTGTGACAGAAAAACTGAGCTTTTAATCTTAAGTTTAAGTAGCCACATGTATTCAGTGGCTATTGTACTGAATAGTGCAGGTCTAGACCAGTGGTTCTCAATTGGGAGCAATTTTGCCCCCATAGGGGACATTTGCCAATGTCTGGAGACAGCTTTGTCACAGTTGGTGGGGGTGCTTCTGATGTTTAGTTGGCAGAGGCTGCTAAGTACCCTACCATATACAGAACAGCCCCACAACAAAGGAGCATCTGGAGCCGGGTTCAGTGGCTCAGCCTGTAATTCTGCGCCTTTGGGAAGCTGAAGTGAGTGGATTGCCTGAGCCCACGGGTTCGAGACCCGCCTGGGCAACTTGACGAGACCTCATCTCTACAATAAAAAAATCAAAAATCAGCCGGGCGTGGTAGCACGTGCCTGTAGTTCCGGCTACTCAGAAGGCTGAGGCGGAAGGATCGCTGGAGCCAAGCAAGTCAAGGCTGCGGTGGCCGGGAGCGGCCACTGCACTCCAGTCTGGGTGACAGAGTGAGACTCCAACTCAAAAAAAAAGAATCATCTGATCCCAAATGTCAATAGTGCTGAGGTTTAAACACATTAGTCTAGACATCTAGCACCTGCTCTTTGACAAGGGCAGACCCTCAACTGCAGACCAGGAACTGGGATTGGCCAAAGGTCTTGGGCTGCTCCTAAAAGGACAGGTGGGTCCAGAAAGTCATGGCGAAGTCCATAAGCCCTTTCCCCCATCAGCCAAAAAACAGACGTTTACTGAGCCAATATGAGCTGTGCCTCTGCCAGTGCCAGAACAGTACAGAGACAGATCCTGTCTTCACTGAGGCACTGCATACCCTCCCTCTATCAAGGCTCCTTCAAGGATCCTGGCGAGGGGATGGGAGGTTGGTGCAGGGAGCACTGAGGGGTCTAGCAGCAATTCACAAGTCCATCTGTATCTGGCCTCACGTGGTATCAGCTGCTTCCCTCATCCTCATATGCGATGGCAATCCCTCGTCTTCCACTCACAGCTTCTGTCACTGGTGTTTGACCCAGGCGGGGCTCCAGCCCCTGCCAGCTCCGGGAACTAAGGAATGAGGCTATAGAGAGAGGGGACTCAGTCTGAGTGGGGCTGAACCTGCTGAAAGAGTTCAGCTAGGAGTGGAGACTTGCACACTTACCTGCAGGACTGCTCTCAGCCAGCTCCAGCTGAGGTTGTGGGGTCAGGGCTGAGCATTCAGGATCATTTGATGACTTCCAGGCAGGTGGGGGTCGGAGCTCTCCAGTAATGAGCGACACATCTGGGGTGTCCCACAGCTCTGACTCAGGTGGTGGGAGGGGCATATAGAAGGGAGAGCCTGGAAGGGAGGAAAATAAAAATCCATACTGGGCCCCTTACTCTATGCCCCAAGATTCCAGCTCAGGCAGTCCCCCACCACTCACCAGGCAACAAGTCCGCATAATGTGTGAGGTGGGGAGCCAGGCCTGGAGGTGGCCAGGCAGGGTTGCAGGCAGCCTCCAACTCGCATGGTGCCAATACAGGCCGGAAGAAGCTACCAGAAGGCTGGGGGGCTAGGGTGCCCAGAGGACAGGCTAACAGCACAAAGACATCTACCTCAGGGAAGTTGGCAAGTTTGGCAGGGGTGGGCCGTCCCAGGGCCAACACATAGCTACGCTTGCCGGCAGCCTGAGTCAGGTTCCGCAAGTGTGTCAGTGCCTCACGGTGTTGGGCCACACCCAATGTACCTGCCAGCAGTCCCACCACACGGGCATCTCTGGCCCTCTCGACCAGATATTGTCTTCGCGCCCTTAGCCGTCCTGCCCAGGCACCCTCATCCTTAGTCTTCCCTGTGTCTGGACAGCAGGAGGAAAAAGGCCGCCCTGGTGCCCACCCCAAGAGCAGCCGACTCAGGTCTGGGTCAGGGTCAGGGCTGGCCTCAGATCCCCCCACATAGAAGGCGCCATACTCTTCCAGACACCTTCCTGGGGCCAAGGGGAAGCGGCGCCCAAAACGCTCCAAGGGCTCCAGCTCCAGACTGAGGGACCCTGCAGGCAGGGGAAAAGCTGGGCTGGAGACTACCAGGTCCAGGTACCGTGGGCGCAGGAGAGTGGCCAAGTCCTCTGGAAGAGAAGGAGATGATGTCAGGGTTGGAGCCTGGCAAAGCAGGAGCTTCCTCATCCTCAGGTAACTAAATTTGGCCCAAAAGACTTGGGCCAAATCCATATCAAGGGGCTCTATGGAAGTGTACTGAAATGGGAAAATTAAGGCATAAAGCAGTAGGCCCTCTCTTCCTGCGTGCACAGGCATAATAACCACTCACCCAGGGCGTAGGCACAGGCCGGCTCACTCAGCAGCACCACAGGCACTTTGGGGTCTGGGTTCTGGGCCTCAAAGGCCTTGGCACAGAGATCCAAGGCCACAGAACGCTGACCAAGGACGAAGGTGACAGGCAGTGGGCGGTCTGGAGGGCTTAAGCAGGCAGGGCCAAAATGTACAAGGGCCTGAGCTCCAGCTTGCTCAGCACCCAGTACGTCCACACAGCAGCTGCAGAGATGATACCATCAGTGAGACGGGTTCTTATCTGGAGAAGAGTTGCTGTCATCAACGGGAAATGCACTCGATTTCATGAAAGGAAAACACTGGAAGGAAGCTAGCATCAGGAGGAGCATCATCACCATCACGTCAAGGAGAAACATAGCCATTGAAAACAAACACTAGCCGGGCTCAGTGGCTCAGCCAGTAATCCTGTGCTTTGGGAGGCTGAGGTGAGTGGATTGCCTGAGCCCACGGGTTCGAGACCCGCCTGGGCAGGCGAGACCTCATCTCTACAATAAATCAAAAAAATTAGCCGGGCGTGGTAGCGTGCGCCTGTAGTTCCAGCTACCTGGAAGGCTGAGGCAGAAGGATTGCCAGAGCCCAGGAGGTTGAAGCTGCGGTGGCCGGGAGCGGCCACTGCACTCCAGTCTGGGAGACAGAGTGAGACTCCAACTCAAAAAAAAAAAAGAAAAAGAAAACAAACACTGTCACAGAGGGGAAATCCCATGAGCCCTGGAGCCCCAGGCCTAGCCTACTTAAGGTCAAGTTCACACCTGCCATAGGCTGTGTCCCCCAGAATGAACATCTTTGAACCTGTGGTCTCCTCCAGTCGTGCAGCCACAGCCCCAGCATCTCCCAGTAGCTGGTCAGGGAACTGCAAGGCCACCTGTAAGCATAAACCATGGAGTCAAGGACAGCCGCTCCCCCATCGAGGGGCTCTTCAAAGGAAACCTTCAGGGAGCTCCCAACCAACTTCAAAGCCCATAATCCCAGAGGGGCACTCTGCCCACGGAGTAGGTGCAGGAGTGGCCAACGCGCGGCGGATGGACTCAGATTCCCCCACCGGGTTGTCCTCACAAAATCCCCCAAGATCCCCCAAGATCCCGATCCTCGTGGCGACTCATCCCCACAGAGGCGAGTCACTCCTCCCTAAGCCTGCTCTCACCCGTTGACACTCCAGGTCGCGGACGAATGCAACGACTCGCTCCAGCTCGTACACGCGGTCGAGGTCCGACAGAGGAGTGAGCAGTCCTGGGACTCCCGCCTCCCGCTGCAGCGCCACCTCCCCGGGGCTGCTGAACGTAGCCTCCATGAGGCGTAGCTTGCGTGGCGGGATGCAGCGGGGACCTCCCTAGGGTCAGTTTCGGGGCCCGCGTCGCTTCGTGGGCGTAGGGAAGTCACTGTCTTCAGCCAGTAGGCAACGACAACCCCTGCCACCAAATTCCCGTTTCTCCCCGACACTAGGGCCTACCCGGAGATCACTTCCGGGTCCTAGGGGCGTGGCTAACAGCAACCTTACCAATCCTAAACCAGCACCGCTCTCGCCTTCCAATCCTGTAGCCAAGCTGCCCAATGAGAACCAATGGTCTGCCAGTGTCCAAGGCCGGCCGGAAGTGCCTCGAGAAAGGCGCAGAGCCTTGTGGGTGATGCAGTTCCCCTGGCGCTCCTCTCCAAGCGCCGAGTCCTCCTGCTCAGCCTGCCGTCCCCCCCAAGAACACCGACTCTCTAAAAATAACTACCCCGAGTTGAGTAGCTCCTACCCGCACATGAAATACTGTTAAGCATTTCGTGCGCATTCTCTCCTCTGGGAGGTACCGTCGCATAATTTCCAACTCAGTGTCCAATTGCCTGGGTGTGAATATTGTGCTTGGCCACTTGGCTGTTGAGTATCTTAGGATGTTTCTATGCCCGTTTCCTTATCTGCAGAATGAGGAGTTGTGACAATAGTACCTTTTAATGGGATTGTTGTGAGGGTCAAAGTAATTTATATATAAAACTTTACACAGTAGTCCTTTGCATATCACATGCAATGAAAGAATTTGCTATTTATTATCCTCACAGCAGCCTGTCAGTCAAATGTTGAACACTTAACTGTCCACGAAACACTACATTCTTAGAGTTCACAGTCTTTGGAAAAAGAATTGTCCCATTTTACAGATGAGGAAATTGAGGTTTGAAGAGACTACTTGTTTAATAAGACACAGCAAGTCAGTGGTACAATCAACATCAAACCCAGGTCTGTTGATTTGGCTTCCCCCTATTCTCCTACCTTATACATGCTACACTTGCTCATGGAGTGGGAAGGGATAAGGCAGAAGACACCTGGATAGCATGTAGTAGGAAGAAAGGATGAAACACCTCCACACAGCTCAGGAGAAGTGAGAAATCAAGAGTAAGGTGGGGATGGACTGAAGAGGGGTAGGAGACAGGGAACAGAGTAGCTTTAGGGAATGGTGAATGACGGAGGGGGACTGATGTTGGCTGGCATGGGAAGAGGTTGGATGAGGAAGAAAGGAGAGCACGAAACTTGTGCAAAGGTTGGGGAAAGAACAGGGGAAGGAATGGAATGTGGGAGAAACCAATTCTCCAACACCTCCAAGGAGATTCAAAGCTCATGGATGGCAGTAGGAACTCAGTCCTGCTCTTCAGATCTTACTGAGGAGAAGGCTGGAGTCCCTGAAAGACAGCTCAGGTGAAACTACGGCTGAGGAGATAGAAAGGGAAGCAATCATGCAAGGGAGGAAGGCAAGTGCAGGCCAGGAGCTGTCCCTGGTCCTGACTGGCCCCTTACCATCCTGTGTGGGGGGTCCCATGTAAGTGAGGAGCTACCGCCACACAAACAACACTAGGTCCTGTTTTCCTCCTCCTTTGAGGGTTGTGATACCTTCTCTCCCTCATCCCACATACACTTAGCTCCTTTCTACAGCCCTTCTCAACCGTGTGCAAGGTTGGTGCTCTACAACCCCACACCAGAAACCCCTCTTCCCTTCCCATTTCTTCCCTTCCAGATGGACCCAGCCTCACCCCACTTGCAACCCAATGCCCCAAGTCCTATACCTAGGAAGCCACCTATTCCCACCAAAAACCTCTTCCATGCAGCCTTCCCACTTTCTCACCATTCTTCCAGCTTAGCATGGTAGCTATGGACTAGACCACAAGGCAGGGCAGAGCTAGGGACCTAGTACACAGCACTGCTGATTAAATAAGTGTATGCATACATGCATGTGGGTACTGATTTTATGGGGGTTTGGGGATGGATGATACTACTGCAGCCCCTACCCTGCCCCACCCCAAAGGCAATGACAAAGGGCTCCAGCCTAGGTGGCTTGGCTACAGCAGTACCTCCTCCGCCCTAGGAGCTAGAAGGTGTTTCTGCCATTCCCTCCCGAGGCCTGGGTCCAAGCATCCTCCTGTCCTTCTCCCAGGCATTCTGGACCCAGGCTTTCAGCTAGGTTGTGGTGGCAGCAGAAAGGAAGCAGAGGCAGCAATGAGGGTCCAGGTTTACTCTTTGGGGACAGGGAAGGGTGAGGAGAAGGGGTGAGTGGGACGGGACGCCCCTCAGTAGTCAGCTGTGTAATCTGTGCCATGTAGCCCCCGGCACAGCAATGTGAACTCCTTCACCATCTCCTTCACCCGCCTCTTGTTCACTCGTTCTCTGAAGGAGAAAAGGGAGAGCAGGTTAGCACCATCCACTGCCACCTCCTCCTCCCTGCCCAAGCCCGGGCCCACTCCAGCTCTGCTCACCGAAGAATCTGCTGGCTGAAGGTGTCCTTCTGTTCAGGGCTGAGGCGGGCAGAGGGAAAACCAGGTGGCTGCAGCGCCTCCTTGATCCACATGCTCAGGAGGCTGAAGCAGTGTTTGTTCAGGGCGAACAGGATGTCAGCAAAGCAGTCCATGAGGCTGCGGGAGGCCTGGCCTCCAATGGCCTGAGGGAGAGGAGTTTTCAGCACACCAGGGCGTTGCCCCTTCTGCAGCAAGGTTGCCTAACCACGTCCAGGCCCTCCAGGACAGCTCCTAAGCCAAACTGCACATCACAGAGAGCGCGGCTGTCTGAGAGCACAGCAACCCTAACGACTTTCAGCCATTTAATTGAGGAAGAAACAGAATCCGGGAGCTTAGGGAACCAAGAAAGCCTCAGCATGAGGGCCCCCACCTTCATCCAAACGCACTTGCTCTGTCTCACCTCCAACACTGCTACGAGCAGCATGCGGCCATCCTCCTGTACCACCTTTCCCACACAGTCTACTTCCCCACACCGAGGCAGCAGCTCTGTCTGAGGAGGATGGAGAGGCCCATCAGCACCAGCTCCTTCCCATCTCTCCCTGCATAACACGCACCTACCCCTGGAGTCCTGAGCAGGGCAGGGCATTGGGGTGGTGGAGGGTCAGGGGTCAGGAGTTAGCATGGGACTCACAAAGAAGCCACAGGAGGCCTTGACAGTAGGTGCCTCAGGGAACTTGAGGGCCAGCACAGCTGTGGGAGAGGCAGAGGCAGATCAGATGGGGCCCAAGCATCCTCCCCAGGGAGCCCCAGGCCCACCTGTCCACCTGGCCCCACTTACCACACTGGAACACAGCTTTGACATCCAATCGTTCACACAGGAACAAATCTGGCTTCCGCTTCAGAGCCTGCAGGAGGTGGAGCTGGTAAGCCCAGCCCCAGCCAGCTCCAAGGACCATCCCCCCACTCACCTGCCACCCCAGTCCCCAACTTCTCACATCACAGGCAGAGGCTGCCAAAACCAGTTACTCAGCCATCCTTGGGGGGACTCAGACCACCCCGGAGTTCAGCAGATCAGGTGAGGACAGCCCAGGGGATGCTATGTACATGTGTGTGTATGTGAATGCACACATGTATGTGAGAGAAGCGGGGGTTTGGGGATCATAATGCAGAAAACTTGGGTTCCACCTTCCCCTCTCCCAGGGCCAGATGTCCTGCAGGCTCCAGGTAGCCAGCAGTGACTTCGCTTTGATTCACAGAGGAAGCTGAGGCCCCCTGGGCTTGTAAACAGGGCAGCAGGAAGAGGAAGCTGAGGCCCCCTGGGCTTGTAAACAGGGCAGCAGGAAGAAGAGATGGCAGTTGGACAGGGATCCCTCAGCTCCCCCTCCCATGTCCTGTCTCCATTCCTCAGGCGCTCTCCAGGTCCTACTCAAGAAGAGGTCAAGTAGGGCGGAGCCTTAGAGCCTCAACCCCATCTTTCACCCAGGATACCCTGTGTCCAGGCCTTCCTCAGCTGTACCCATCCCAGGAGCCAGTGCTACTGGTGGGGGAAAGGACAGATGGAGTGGCGGGGGGGTGGCAGATGGTCTGCCCCAAGTGGTACCAGGACATGACTGGCACATCCTCAGGTCACAGGAGACGCTCTGCACAGTTCCAGCCATCCTCAAACACTGCTGCTCCCCAGCAATGTCCCCAGCGCACACCACACAGACCCCTACCCTCCAACCCCTCATATACCCTCCAGCCCCCATGTTTACTCATGTGAAAACACCCCTACATGCACCCTCACTTGAAATGCCCCTTACTTACACATCTCTATCATACCCCTTACATACATATGCTCTCCCATATCTGCAACACACCCTCACTACACAGTCATTACACAAACACCTGCACATCTCCAAACCCTGACCACACACCCACATCCTCGACCTAACCACAATCCTCCCGTACACTCCCCCACACACCCATCCACAAACACACACTCAAATGCCTCCCATCAAAGATACACTCTTGCAGATACCTAGACACATATCCATCCAGGCCAGAACACTCCCTATTCTTCACTCCCCCACTCCCCACTAGACCACATGTGCCAGAAGAGCAAGAACTGTGCCTGCTTTTGCCCACCATTATAACCTCAGCACCTAGCAAGGTACAGCATGTCCTACACACTCAATAAATATCTATGGGATGCTTGAGCAAAGAAATACTGCATTGACCCCAACTCACTGGTTATGGATTCTGTGTGCTAGTGTGCTAGGAACTTCCTAATACATAGAACGCCCCCATCACACTAACTCCACACTCCCACAGCTTGCCATTCATATCTTCCAAACCATACTCTAATACAGACATACTCATAGCATAACATACACTCCCTTCCTGCATAATGCACAGTCCTGCATGCCTCCAACACATACCCACGCTCAAAATCTATCAAGGCCTGACACATCAACAAACAACACAAAACACACAACACAATGACATACAGTATGCATCGATGCACGTGCCCACACTGCAACTGCACATTTATCCCAGCATCCAACACAAAACGCATACTACTTACAGCAGCAGGCGATTTCTGTTCCCTTCCCAAACCAAACTCAAAACATTTAAGATAAGATCCAGCACACTTCAACACATACGAGACGCAA